GGTGGATGTTGAGAAGACATTGAAACCGATGGGGAAAACCCAGGAAAACAAAAACATCCTAAAGCCAATGCCCCAACAACGATACTTCGGTATCAGGATCGTTTTAAACAAGGCATTTACCGACATGCTGTTTACAAACTCACTGGTTTGTTTGGCTGTCAAGTCCACAGCAACGACAACCCTCCACCATTAATTACACTTGTTAGTGCATGTTGGTACTACCGCGACGACCACAGAGAAGAGCAATCACAACCACAAGGACGAGGACCACGCAGATGCCGACGCCAACGACAACGACGACGACAACTAACACTACAATTTTTACTAGTATGTTCTTCGGGTATGCCGCATACATGTTGGATGATGCCCCAACTGTTCTAACCATTGCCCAACAAGGCAAGTGTCTGTGTTGACGAAGAAGGAGTTGTGCTCGTCATGCTTGACCAATGGAGATGTTCCTTGGTCCGGAGTTCAACGGTATTTCGTTTGTTGATGTGCCCCAGTGATGTCTGCCGTTCACATTAGCAACGGATCCAAATCCAATGCCATATGTCCGCTGACGCAAAAATACCGGACCGACCCACACAAATTGATTGGAACATTCTTCGTTACAGGACAACATTGCTCCCCTGCTCGCCATTGCACAGGTGATTCGTGCCTAGGGGTCCTGCTGAGTATAACTGTCGGCTAGAGAGAGCTGTTCGATTGTGAGTGAGAAAGAGAACGCGCGCAGTTTTTCACCAAACAATTGTCCATCTGAAAGCGTTTGGATAAACGGATGCAATGATCATGGTAGATGGTGGTGCATTGACAACTATGACGAGAGCAACCTGCCCTCCTGCTACCACAATTTGGTATGCAGACTCTTCGATGGCAACGTTGCGGTGATGACCGCAACATGACGGTGTGATGATGAAGGTGCAATACTTTTTGGATGATGCCTGAGGAGTGCCGGTGCCAAATGGGACATGATAGTGCGGAAGATCGAAACATGTTGCCAAGACAGTTTGACTAAGTGTAACAGTGGACAGGATACGCACGCTGACTGAAGCATGGATGTGGCTGGCCGCATGGACACCAAACTAGCTTTCGGATTTTGAGAATCGGAACGGAAGTGAGCAAGGTACCGGCTTGTAACCCAACCCCGCTGAAGACAATTTTGAGCACAAAAGGACTAAGCCGGAAGACTTGAATGTACCCATCCACAAGAATAAGAACTCCCAAACACCAAACAATTCAAGTCAAGCCAGCATAAAAGCAAGCAGTCGGTGAGAAACGCCAGGTCCAGCCGCTTTTAGTTGGGTTGTGTGAGCGTACGTCAATGAAGAGTGAAGACAGTTGGCCCCTGAACTTGGTTTTGCTAGAACGAATGCCACTTTCATGTTCCAGCTGTTGCAGATCACGGCACAATGCAGGCCAGCGGAAGGAGAACTCGTGAAACCATTTCAATATATTTCAATATATTTCAATCCATCTTGATTCCAATTGAAATGGATTCTCCACTCCAAACCCGGACTCCATCTCGAAGCCGTGTGTTTGGAAACCTATGCTCGCGATATTGCAAAGGAGACTCATCCACGTCGTCCATAGAAGCGATAAGCCTTTCTCGAGGCTTGACCAGCGCTTCTTTTGTGAGCAGACCGATGCCGTGAGGCCGCTGCAATGGAGGCAAGGGCCTGGAGAAAGACTCCAGAGAAAGAGAGAAGACGAGTCATACCAGCGAGAGAGAGAGAGAGATACGTTCGCAGACTTTCGAGAATGATGATGGATGAACAATGATAACCATGCTTTGGGGTGTATGGGTTCCGTGGCTTGATCAGCTTCGATGAAGTTTCAGAATTGCCGCCAGTGGTGGACACCAGGAGCAAGACTGTTCTTTTGCGAATTGAGATGCAGATGCAGACGCGCATGGCTGTCCTGAGCTTGGCTGCTTTGAGTCTTAGTTCTTTCCTGAAGCGGACCCCAGAGAACCTTTCACATCCTGACTCCTGTCACTGCTTCCTGTCAAGTTGCCCAATTGCAGAATATGTTTTAAAGATTTCTGATTTCACCACATGAAACCATCGGATTGACTCCGCTCCGTGAGGTGCAGTTGGACCTTTCCATGCCAACACTATTGGACAATTTGGAAGTGCGGGGCATCAACCTCGCCGGCGAGGAAATCGCACGAGTTTGCTTGAACAAGCAAGACTCTCGGACATGCAAGCAGAAGCGCTCAGTAGCGACAAGGTCGACGAGCTTGAAAGGTGGTGGCATTGTCGGATTCTATTCTGGTTCTGTGGGACACAGTCGCGCTGCGGATCAGCAGGGCACGTACAATGCCACACTATCCTAATTCAATATTACTATATATAGATGATTCATTATTCCGGCCATCGCTATTAGTTTGAAGGCCATTGCTATTAGTTTGGAGGCCATCACTATTAGTTTGGAGGCCATCGCTATTAGTTTGGAGGCCATTGATGGCCATTGCTATTAGTTTGGAGGCCATTGCTATTAGAATCTATTAGATGATTCCTTACTCCACCATGATGCCTGAGGATGCCTTTGGTTTACTCCGGGCGGCTTGGCCTGGTGTGAACCTGGGGTGGCTGGGGCATGCCCCAGTTCTTTCAGAAGGCTCCGAGGCCACGAATCGTGTTCTGTCAAGTCATGCTCGGTGGAGCCGATGTGACCCGAGGATGGCTTTGCTAAAACTGTAGGGACTCTTGGCAGCATACAGGCGCCCTCAGGCGATGAATCAAGGTGCCACTGAAATTGCAATGAGTATACTGAGTAAACATGGCTGAGGAATTCAAGACTCTCAACCCCACTGTAGCCAGATGTCATGTCCTTACCACGTAGGGCAAAGCTGGGATGCCCAAACTATTCCGAGTCAATGTCATGCGGCTTTTAACTTGTTCACGTTGGGTACTTGATGCCTGAAGGGGGGTGGGCTTCACAGATTAGGAAGAGCTCATGTGATTGATCAGCGCAGCAAAATTTATTGCTGTAAATAACTATATACTCACCTTAGATGCCTTAGATTAGATTGCATTTGTCATCAGCGCACATTGGGTTGAGGCAGCACACTGGCAAGCTCTCCATGGTGTTGCCTGATGGAACGTTTGCCTCTCCGGACATGGATTGCAAGACGATGACAGAAGCCTCTTGAGCGGCACAAATGTATGTACTGTGAGCATGCAAGTTCTAGTTCATACTCCCTAACTTTCCATGAGATGCTTCAGGAAGCAGTAGGGTCGATCAAGTTCAGTCGGCGCTGTCTTTCCTGTTTCCGGGTGTTACCCTCCCTGCAACAGTCATGGAAGTGGACCATGGCCCCTGAAAGACCATGTTCCTCTACAAAAAAAACGGGGTTGTGCAGATCCATGTTTGTCGCAGGGTGCGCAGGCTTTCCCACTGGACATGCATACATCATCAATTTCATATCCTGAATCCTTCACGATCCTTGACCCTTGTCGGTCTGTTAGTATAGGCCTTGGATTTGGCCGCTTTGGCTCAGGTTTTCTCTTGAACAACTCGTGCGGTAGAGGCGGAGTCAAGCAACTCACAAGTGCATTTAAATTATGGTGGCCGAAGGCCGACAATGTCCGTCAGCGGCTCTGAAGGCAACGAAATCAACTACGGAGTAGACTGTCAGGGAATGTTTGTGGACCTTGAAGAGCCAAGGGGACTTGTGTTTCATGGTGTTTCATGAGTGTTGCAGCTTTGCTTAGGCAGCTGCAAAGTTTGAAATTTCAGACTTTTTATTTGCGGAATGGAACTGCACCCGAACTATCGTTCAAAAGCATCGCTCATCCTTTCTCCATCTCTTCCCTGCTGAAAGAGATTCAATTCGGGTCGCGGCAGTGATTCAGTGAAGTAGTATATACTTATTTTTGAAGCTCTACGGCTCCAAATTGCCAAACCGTCCGACCGCCTATCCTTAATCAACACCCTGACCCTAGTAACAAAGGGCATCGCTACTAGGAGCAAGGACGCTACTTACTAGGGGCTCCTGGCCTTACTACTACATAGTAGCAAGAAGCTACTAGGAGCAAAGGGCATCGCTACTAATTAGTGACAAGGACGCTATTAGTGGCTCCTGGCATCGCTACTATGAGCATTCTTACTACTAGTAACAAGAAGCTATTTGTAGTCGTGTCTTGTACGATTTTTTCCGGCTGAGCCTTTGGGCAATCGCGAGGCCGGCCATGTCGGCGGTTGGTAGGTTTGAATTCCACACAAGTTTCCAGTTGCCAGTTCATTACGCAGTGCTGGTTGCTGCGTAAGCAGATCCCCTTAGAAGTTGGACCTTCGCAGCAAGGAACTTCAGGATCGAACTCGCGAGAAGATGTGAGAAGGCCAGATGAAGATTGAAAGGGATCTATAAGTTATTGTAAAATGCTTGTTCACCACCTCCTTCAGTGGCGAGATGTTATGAGTTTCATTGAGCTAAGAGTTCTCTCTCTCTCTCTATATATATTATAGACTCAACGAGTCGTATATTATGCTCGAGTTCTTGCGGCTTTTCAACTTGCTATGCATCCTGTCACTTGTGGATGCTAAGTCAAGCCCCAAGCGGCCATTCACGCGTAGGAAGCTTGCCTGCACGGACCTTTGGTTGGCAAAGTTCCTTTCGTTGAGTTTTGGTGGCAGCGGTGCCAGTCTCGTCAAAAGCGGCGAGATGTCAGAATTGTTTGCTTAGAAGTGTTGATTTCAAGTGGCCACATTGGCTTTTTTCCCAACGATGGCCTGTTTGAATTGAATGCAGTTGGACGGATATTCTCATGTGAGATGCTGGATGCTCTACGTGGCTACGTTTCATTCTATACTAATTATATAAGTTGCTACCAGCAGCAGTTATTGGAGAGCAATGTTGTGAACCAGAGTCATGCTCGTGTGTTCAGTCTGGCAAACTCATAGATTACTGTAGATTGGCCGTGATTGGCCAAATACAGGCTGGACGGCCAACGCCTGCCCGGTCCAAACATTGAATTAGGCTTCCCTGAATCCGGGTGATGCTGCAAACCGGGAATCAGCAAGAAGACTGGTTAAGTGGAGCAAGCAATGGCTTACAGGACATGCTCCCGCGCTCTGACTTGCTTAGAGCCAGACAAAAGGCTGGAGGTTTCCGGTTTCCTGTGTTTGCGAGGCTTCGGTCACGTTCTTGGTCTTTTGGATGCATTTGGGTAGCTACAGCGACAGTGGATTGAAAGCATATGTAATTAGTTATTTGATGTTACTTGAAAGTTGAGTCTGGGTTTGGCCAGACCAGTGCAGGCGGTAGATCCCACAAATCAAAGTGTTGGATGTCCCGCCTTCGGGTCTCTATTTCAGTGTGGTGCGCTCGGCATCCCATCGGTGTGAGGCACCTTTAGACCCGTCCTTCGCCCCTCCAGCGTCACAGGCCTTTGGCAATAGTTTGGCCTAGCATGTGGAGTCTGCATGTAGGGCATTTGGGTCACAGACTAGGTCTTTGCAACCAGGACAAGCAAGCACAACATGGTTTGTGAATGTTTGCAAACTTGGTATCAGACTATTCGTCCATTGGTGACTGGGGAGCGAGAGGGACCCATGGACAACATGGCCGAGCCAGGCGCCTGAGCATCTGAGAGGAGGAGGTTCCTTCACACAGGGTTTGGAGCTAAGCTCTTGCTTGGTGCCACTCAACAAGAACCTGAACGCAGCCCTTGGGTATATAAAGCGTCTACCAACCGAAGTCTTACGAAAAGATGCAAGCTACACAAGCTATGGCAGCTATGGGTGCTTTATTTGCTGTCGGGTTTGCACCAGGCCAAACCACATCTTGGGCTCGAGGGAGTGACCCTTTGCGCGACCGATCCGGATCAAATTTAGACAATGAAGGCCCTGCAGGCGGGTTGGGCAGATTGCGGGGCTGGAGAAACAACAGATCAGTTGCATCAATGGCACACATACAGTCTATATACGGACAACGATTTCCAAGAAGACTCAACAACTGAGAATGTGGTGCTTGGCCCTGCATGGCCCTGCTATTGCACCACTAGGAACCACGCCGCGAACATTCTGGTATGCAAACCGAAATAAGTCACGGAGCTTTGATCTTCGTCGTCAGGAAATGAGTACGTCTACTTATTCCATTGTTTGGTTGTTCAGCGTGCACGGCATGAGGGGGTTGAACTGTGCTTGCGAGTGAGCGTTCTCGCTTGGAAAGTCCAAGAGAGGGATTTGATTGAAGAAATAGAAGTGATTTGGTCTATGAGTCTACGGCTCAGGCAGCAACGCTTTCCGGAAGTGCGTGACTGGTCAGTGTGCTCTTGGTCTGTAAATTGGTTGTTTCCACCCACCCGCCGATGGCGGGGATGGCTTTCCACGCCTGGACCTCATATATATATATATAATTGTATATATATATATTTAAACTATATATATGTATAACATTGTATAACACAAAAAAAGGGTTGAAAGTAGCTGCACAAAGTGTCACCAACACAATGTAAGCACAACTCCACAACGATCAACTGCGGCAGTCATGTAAACATGCCAACGTGTTCCACCTTCGGTGTAGAAACACAAGCCAACTCGCATCCTCATGAGGCGAGTCCTGATCCGCATCAGCTCTTGACGGGATTTCTCAACTTCTTCCTTCAGCTCAAGATTATTTGCTCGCACAAATTTATTATCTTCTGCTGTTCATACAGGGTGTTCATGAACCGAAACAACTTGCACATGCACTTGTAGATCCCATAGGCAACCATGGGAATTCCCAACAACAACGACAATGCTGTCACAATGAAAGCGTAGTTGAAGACAACGGATTCAACCACACCCAACTGCTCACCTTCATCTTCTGTATTTGTTCAATGTCGTGGCCTCTGCAACATGATTCAACACAACAACCATTGAAATTCGTGCTGCCACTGGGTTCGTGTATCCAAAGGGGTTTGTTGTGGATGCTTGTCTCTCCTCCTTGTTCTTCTTCTTTGCAGCCGTATAGTATTATAGCTCTCATCATGAACAATGCTGAGCCAGCCACTTCTCAACATTTCTGTCATTTGCTGTCGGGCAAATCTTTGTGAGCCCGTCAGCGAGCATCCTCTCACTGCACACCCACCTGAACTCTGTCTTGAGCCGCTTGATCCCCTCCTTGATGCGCAGGACTTCTATTCCTGCACGTTTGTCAGCTGAGCTGCCAATGCCATCTCGCTTCAGACTGTCGTATCAGGCCTTGGCGTCTATGATGATAGCCGACTTGCCACAATCTGCCGCTGTAGCCTCTGACATTGGATCAAGCTGTGGATTCAACATCATTGCAAGCATTGATTTCATCATCATCGTCATCATCATCATCATCAGTTCATCCAACCAACGCTGTCGCACAAGCCTGACTCTTTGCACTCAGACTTGAGCTCCAGACTCGAATGAGTTTGAAGGATCTCCAACTGATCACATTGTAAGGCACTTGCTGTCCTGTCAATGCTTTCTGCGATGTCAACACAACAATGTATCCTCCCTGACTGCTTCCGTCGCTTCTGGCATTGAATGCAGCATCTGAAAAGCAAAGCAAGCATAGGTCATCTAGTCCTGAGCACACTGCTGACATGTTGAGCTTGAAATCTGCCGCTTGTTTGCCAAGCCTCAATGTCTTGTTCAAATCTGTCAAGTGTTGCACTGTTGCCTTGTTGATATTTGCTGCCGTCAATGATGTTGATGCGCTCAAGAACGGACATCCTTGGCCTGCCGGCCACTGTAATGCTCCTATTATCAAAGCACGAGCCTTCGATACTTCTCCAGCATTGAGTGCGTCTTGTTGTCCGCGACCTTTGTGGATGGTCACGGGCATGACCTTCTTCATGTTGAATGTCAAGACTCACTTTGTCTCCATGGTTTGAAATTGTGCCGCTACAGTATATGAAGTTTTCCTTCTCCTTGAGTTCTTGCTACTTTCCGCAGTCGAATTCTCCTTTGATACTCTGGATTGTTTTCACAGCATCTTGGTTGCTCATGTTGAATCCCATCAACAGATCATCAACGTGCAGAATGATCAACCCAACCAACTGCATAGATGAATTGTATGACATCTATGCACACTTGCACAACCGATGCCTTTTCAATCCCAGGTTTCGAAGTCGCCTGTCTGCATCTGTCCACCACAGTAATGGAGCACCACAGAGTCCGTATGCCGACTTTCTCATCTTCATCTGTGTGGGGCCCTTGCTGCCAAGCATAGCACTACAGTCAGCTGGTAACTTCACAATGATCTCACGATCAAATGTTGCTCCTGAATGTGTCCATCCCAATATTCGTGTCATGTGGCCATCAACAACATCTTGGATGTCTTGTTTGCAGTCGTGCTTTGGCACGCCTTTGCAACTCTCCTTCCGCTGGTGGCTTCCAAACAAGCACCCGCCGAGCTGTGATTACACGAGTGCCTTTGTGCTTGCCAAGCTCGGTGAACTCCCAAACCTTGTCAAAATATTGCATCAACCCCTTCTGCTTTGCTTTGATCATCTCTTGTTTCTCATTTTCTCAGCTAGTGTCACGTGACGTTCACTCACTTCAGCCAAGAATGCTTCATCCAACTCAAAGCTGCCATCAATGAGTCTCCACCCTTTTGGGCATAGTACCTGGCTGCATCTCAACAATGAATGCATCTTCAATGAACAAATCGTCATCATCAGGTAGTGGTATGTCAGCTGCTTTTCTCGCATACTTCAAAGCCAACTCCTTGATGTCATCGTCCATCTCTCTTTTCATCTCTTGGTCGTCTCCTGTCACTGGCGGACACTCTGGCACTTCTGTCGATGGTGAAGCTGAAGATGTTGGTCTTCGATTTTGCTCTTCACTTCGTCTTCACTTCGTCTGTTCTGGTACACAAGTACCGCGCCTGGAACTTCATCTTCTGGAATGGTCATCTCTCCTGTCTCACGATCTGATGGAGGTTCTGTTGGCTCGTATTCCTCATTGTCGTTTGTCATCAGATCGTCGAATTCATGCTCCTCAGGCGGCACGACATCTCTGAACTGTGTCGTGTGTCGTGCTTCGTGCTCTCAACTCCTTCAAGTCCTTCAATGCAGCATGAGCATCAACTGGTTTGTGGAGTCCTGCGTCCTTCACAAGTGGTCGTACTTGGTGAGGTGAGCAACGAATCAGTGCTGTGCCATGACATAGCCAAAGCACTATATAACTGCTTCCCTTCATCGTCCTTCTCCTTTGCAACACATTTTGTTGGACCACGCCACTTGTTCTTCTGCAAAGTTCCAGAACGTTGAATCCTCCAGTAGTAGCACATCTGTCCAACTACAATATGTTGAGTTGTTCTCTTGAAATTTTGCTGCATTGCTTTGCGAAGACGAGCATCTGAGTCTGCCTTGAGGAATGCCAACTGTGCTGCCAAAATCTGCCAAACGCTTTGCCTGAATCTGGTTGAAATCAAGTGGATCATTCATCGGAGACAAGCTTGGATTGAAGACTGCAGATGTCGGCCTGTATGTATCTGCTGCTGATCTGCTCAACACCCATTGAGGCGGTGTGAACCCACGGGTGTAGCTAAGAGCATTGATCTGGCCTGGACAATAAACTGCTGCTTCAATCACTGTTTTCTTGTCCCTTTCTCCCACGCTCCTGCATGTACAGTTCAAGGCTTTTCCTCCCAACCTGATGCTTGCGCTCAATCGAACCGATCCAGTTGTGGCTTTCTGCTGGTGCAACTTCCAAGGTCACATTTCTTTCAGAGCACCAATCAAGATACCTTGCTACAAAGCCTTTGCCCTCATCAACTCGAAGGCATTTGGGAACGGAGAAGTGTTTGATCTAGCTTCGCTCAATGCCTTTCGCCAGATCCATGGACTTCACTGTTCACTCTTCATGATGCAAATGGCAATGTATTTTGTCGCTTGAGCCATCAATGCCATGACACAAACTCGACCATCACCGGTAATTATCAATCCATGCCGAGCCATGAGCCGCTTGCCAAAGACCTTTGCAGTCAATCCTGGAGCCGGTTAGTACGCCTGCTGGACCTTGACGAATGAAACACTCTGGACAAACATAGCCACGAGCCGCTTTTATGACATCCTCAGTTGTATAACACATTTGCATTACTTCGTCAACCATTTTGCAAAGCACCTTGGAGCCCGGATGCCCCAAATCGCGATCCAACCTGACAACATAGTTCATTGCTGCTTTGCCCACTTGTCGTCGAAGCTGTGCATTGCTGGTGATAGGTGCATCACCATCCTGAAACAGCTCTTGTGGAATGAGTTCTTTCTGCTCAATCTTTTCGACATGTGCTCGAAACATGCTCAATTTTTCTGTTCCACCTCGGTATTGCTCGAACACATGGTCAGGATGGTATCATGATGTTATTGTTTGTCCTCAGCAATCTTGTTCTTGTAGCTCTGTGACTTCGCGATGTTCAGCTCTTGGATGGGTGACCAAAGCTTACACAGGCTTACACATAGGTGACATCATCACCTCATTTGGTTGTTCATCTCAAAGTCGTTGTAGAAACCGGGAACGATGAGACCCGATTCTGAAGTCCCATCCGGTTTGGAGCGAAAAGATCTCGGTTTGCACATGTGGGTATTTGCTGAGATGTTTGGTCGTTCGACCTTTTCCAACAAAGACCTCCCATAGACCTCCCATATCACAGGACATTTATTTTATATTTGCTGTCCTTCTGTATGGTTCGTCCTTGGTGAAGCATTTGATCCTCCACTTTGCATGCCTCTTCTGCTTGTTTCTGCAGCTTTCGCAAGACATGCCCATGAAGTCTCTTGACTGTGCCAATTTCTTGCCCCTCATTTCCGTCAAATTGACGTGTGGTAGCCGTCAGGGCTGACTGCTGAGGCTGAGACACGTCCAAGGTGTCTTAGGCAACCATCACCTCATGCAGCAACTGTTGAATGCCTTTGTCAATGGGTTCACCGACGTGAGATCCTGCGTCCTCTGGAAGTAGGACTTGATGCACTTGATGTGGTTCATCATGGATGCACTGACAAATCTTTTTCCAAGTGGAGCAAATGCTCTCCACGAGGTCCGACTGGAAGATTTTCTCAATCACTGTTGGGCCACTTCATCATTTTCTTTTGATAGTCAACTGTCAAACCCAATTGCTGAAGCAATGGTCGACCAACTAGGATCAGTGCCGTGCCCTTGATCACATAGGTCAACACATCAATGTGCTTGCTGCCCAAAAAGATAGGCAACACCACATACTTGCTTGTCGTCTCTTTCATGCTGTTGCCATATTTGAAACCTTTCTCGCACTGAACCATTGGTATGTCATGGATGTTGAGGCCTTCTTCCAACAGAAAACGGATATATTTCTTGATCTGCCATGCACTGCCAAGAACTGATGCTGCACCTCCGTCTTGTACTGCTGCATCATCTCCAACAAAATCATTCTCACTTGCATCAATGTGAAAGGCCTCCGCGGCAGCAGTCACCTCTTCAACCATGTTCACGGAACTTTCAGCTTCTTCTCCGATCTTTCGCTTCTTGTCTCCAGGTGGCATTGGACAATTGCGCGCCCAATGACCTGAATTGCCACAGCGAAGGCAGAGTTGTTGTCCAGCTCCTGAACCCATAGCTGCTGCTGCTCTTCCTTTAGGATTGCCTGACTTGCCGCCCTTTGGACTTGAGCGACCTTTGTTCTTTGACTTTCATTTGCCACCTCGCTTGCCACGAGCTTGACCTCCTGGTGATTGTCCTGACATGTGTGGTGGCAACATAGCAACAACAGGATACAATCCACGGGAATTGCGAAGTGCGTTCATCTTTGCTTTTGCATCCTCACAATTTGCGAACGCATCATCAAATTCATCAACGTCGCACACCTGTTCACAATTGTCAACCAAAGCAATAGTCTTCAACACACTCTGTTGATGCGTCTTGCCAGTCATCCCAGCCATACACCATATATAATACGTTGGGGAGGGATCCATCACCATTCGTCACCTGACAGTAGTAGGTGTCGACTGGTTTTCTGGAAGGCGTGACCATCTGGATGATGCGTTTTGCTATGTGGAATCTTGTCCAAGGATAAAACTCATGGACTTCATCACTTCCTCAATTGTCAACCAGTGGTTCCAGTATTAGTCAAAATCAACTGCCTTTGCTCCTTTGTGATTTCATGATCGACGCAGAAACCACCATGCTAGCACCTTCTCCGGAAGATTGACAGAATGCGTCACCTGCAGCCTTCTCTCACAACGTGTAGTCGTTCATGTAGTCCTGAAGGGTTTGTTTGGGCTTCCTCTGTACGCGAACGAAATACTGTTCAAAATCATCCGGCAACTCAGTCAAAGGATCGGATTTGAATCCTCGATCAAGCCGTGTGAACGAGGTCTCATAGGCATCATCTCCAGCCATCTGATCCATTGTCACGTCCTCAACTAAATCCCAAGCGTTCCCAGCCATCAACGTAACCAGGTTGTAAACAACTTCTGACTGCCGATTGCCTACTGTAGTTGCATCTTCTTCTTGCAGATCTCACATCTCTTTCTGAACTCCCTGTAGTCTTGCATCTGGTTGCTGAAAACAGGCACATAGTTGTCGAGCTTTGCAGTGCTCGCTCCACTTGGAACCGTCTGTTGACCTGACCCAGAAGATGCCCCCGGACCAATTGTCGACTGTCCCGTCTTTGGAGGCATGAACACTCAGCCCCTGCGGTAGCCCTTGCGGGCTCCGCTACCAACAACAAGAGTTGAAGTAGCTGCACAAAGTGTCACCAACACAATGTAAACTCAAATCCACAACGATCAACCCTCAAAGCGAATCCGACCCAATGCAATGCTATGCACTGTTTTCTATGGCATATGCCAGTAGCTCGAGCGTGTCCCTTCCACTCTCAAGCCGATACCACCGACCTCATGTCAGTGACATCAGCACCCTTGGATTCCGGTTTGAATTTCACGTTATAGTCATATTTGTGATTGTTTAAAATATAGCATCCGACAAAATCTAGTGCATACACTTGGTATGTTGTTCTTCTCAGTTTGAGATTGAGTTGCTTACGGCAGTATACAAGACGTGTTGCGAGACCTGCAAATTTCCAACCAGTGCCTTACCGATGCCCCAACCGATGCCCACTTTGAACACGTTTGTGTCCATTTTCTCCACAACTTGTGCAACCACTACTGCAGTTGATTCGTGCCCTCACTGTTGGCGTGCCAAACTATGGCAAGCTTCATGCCACCAACAAAGCTTGAAACGCAGCCAACCCTACAAACCTGCACGACCCATGGGGGCCGACCCATTCTAGGCAATGTTCTGAGGCTATATAGATAAGATATTTTTCCGGCGCACACACCAATCGTTAGGGGTCGTGCTTGGGGGCCTAGAGTTTCCCCGCCACTTACAAGAAAAATTACGGCTTGAGTATGTCAGTGGTTTCCCGTTTGGCCAAGCGGCTTCCCATTCCTGTTGAATGAAAGTTCCACGAGGTAGCAAGAACCTATAGTGCAGGGTTCACCTGCTCCGTGCCCATAACAGGTTTCAGTGCCTATGGGGGTGGCCACAGCCAGTCTACTGCCTACTCGTTGTGGCCTTAGGTGCTCCATCACGACAACTTGGCCTCATAGAGTCATAGGGCAACAAAGTGGATGAGCGATGGCCTCCAACCTAATAACAATGGCCTCCAACCTAATAGCGATGGCCTCCAACCTAGAAGCGATGGCCTCCAAACTGCCCAGAAAACTCGATTTGAAACCATTGCTGGCAAGCTCCTTTTGAAGCTCAGGGGGGGGCTGCCGCCAGCAGGCCAGCCAGAGACTGAAATGGTCCACCCGCGTAGGGGGCGTTGTCACGGAGCAATAACCAAGGATTCACTTGGTTGAGTGCTTAGTGCTTTGGAGCTAGGGAGAGTTCTTTGCCGAAACTGCATTACCAACATCCATGAGGCATCAGAAATGATTTTGCATGGTAAGAGGTTTGCTTGCCAAATGCGGGATGAAGAGACCAGACCAAACACACAACTTGCCACACAGGCGGGGCCGTGGTCTCTGCCGCAGCTCCAGTAGCAGCTCCGGTAGTGACGGCATCCGCTTCCTATAGAGGAGGCCCTGGGCCGCAAAGTTGTCAAAGATGCAGAGAAATCGAGAACGGCAATAGAACAAACTGGGAAACAATGAGAAACTTGAAAGATTTGAAAGCACCTGAGTTCCTTGCTTGTAGAGGAGCGCAGCCAACTGTGGGAGTGCTCAGCATCAATAATCAATGTTTGACATTGACCTTCAGCATTGATTACTGTAACTGGTTCTCAAGTTCACTAGTTGCAAATGGCCAATTCAAGTTTACTAATCCATACTGTAATACTAATGCAATTTTTGTACGGAAGTTCAGTTCTGCATCCTAGGCCCCTGTTGTAGCCTGCAGCCCCAGTTTGGTCCAACGATGTGTAATGGGTGCTCGGGAAGGATTCAGATTACACAGGGCGAGTTGCGAGGGACTGCATGCAGACAGCGTCATAAATTTGCTCACATGAGTGACAGCGTGACAGCTTGCGGGCCGAGACTCTAATGGTGCGGTGCCAATGTGATGTTATGTGCAAGTCATTGGTGTCACAATGTGTCACATCATGGCGTCACTGCAATGCCCCCGAGCATTCTACACAGTCTCAAATGCGCAAGAGAATGCCAGAGATACAGCTGAGTTTATATAGAATATGTGGAGGTGTTTTGCCTATGTTTGACCCTTGCTCATATTGGACAGCCAAGTGCCAAGGGTTGCACTTGATGGCCTTAGGTCGGAGCCGCTCCCAGTGCCGCTGTGGCAGCAGAGGATTCCGATGAGGATCTTGCAGGTTGGCGAGCTCACCGTTTGTTCAGTCTAGGTTGGCTTGCGACATGGCAAATCCACCAATAGTGTCAATGTCCCCTTTGCAAGTTTGCAACTGGTGAATTCTTCATCCACTTTGGCCTTCTTTTTCGAGGTTGGGACAGATGAGCGCTCGTCAAGCGGCGTCAGGCTTTGTCCGTTTGGACGGGCTTGCGGAAGGTAATATTTGCTGAGGAGTGAAAGTCTGAAGTTTTGAAACCGAGTCCACTGTCCTAGCAGCGCGTTCAGCATACACACATTCATTTGAGATAGGACACAATTGTATGTTACCTGCGTCAAATCACCAAATCATCCAAGCCCGAAAGATCATCCCTGGCGGACCCTTGGACTCGGGACAAGGCCACAAACATTGAAACTGGGGGTGGGGGCAGCGATGCTGAGGGTTGGAACAACTCGTCCACCCGGGGTGATTATCACATAGTATCACTACCTTATAGTACTAAAAGCCGACGTTTGGTTATGAATCTTGGTTGCTGTCAAGTCCTTGGAATGAGCCCTTTTGGTTAAAGAGGTGAGTGGCTGGGACAAGGCTGTATATGGTCTTTCTCACCTTGTGGCACCTACGAGGCGGAATCGTGCATTGCTCAGAAACTGGCAGCACCTTCTGGCTCGATGCAACCAAGTTGGGGTCATGGGCTGGCTGAGTCACCGATCAGCATTTTGTCTCAGCGAGATTGAAGGATATTTAAATGGACCTGACTAGCACAGACCAAGTGATTGCCGGTACCCACAAGGGTGAGGGTTCTCGTACTCCTCATCTCGCAATGACAAACGTGCAGAAGTTGTGATGACATCAGAGTTGTGCCAACCTGGATTGAGGATGCCAAATGGCCCTGAAAACTAGGCCGCCCCCAGCCTGCCATTTGGTGAAGTTTGATCCTTAGCCATGGCCTTCTCCAAGCTGCATAACCAGTCCACCTCAGCGACAAAGATGGAGCTCATCGCAGCTCAGGCAAGCAACCAAAAAAAGCATGCAATGCAAGGTAAAGGGGAGTGGTTCAGAATATTGCCAGCACATTCAATCTTGACAAGCACTACCTTTGGGAGGTTCTTTTACCTTTTTGGGACAATCGGATCATTAAACATCTGCATCCAGGCCAAAATCACCGAACTTAGCCGAGACCTCAGGGGCTGGCAAAAGAGTTGCAGCGAGATTAATCTTATATTTTTGAACATTGTAGAGGCTGGACAGGTTGTGAGGCTTTCAACAGTTTGAGAATTTGGAGCTGAATTACTTTGTTTTTATGTTCAAGCATGGTCAACATTTGATTCGGAGATTGAAAGGCCAGACGGAAGTCAAGATGCCAATGCGTTCCAACGCTTTGAAGATCTCATATGACATATGCCTCCTCGCATTCTTGCATCTTTGACATAATTGCATTGAGACAACTCAAAAGTACATACACTATTATACAAACCCCACTTTGCCGCGCCCCATGTCGTTTTGGGAAGTCATCGGCGGAGCACAAAAGGGTGGCCTCCTGGTTCGCGCTGAGAAGGACCGGGCTTAGGGCTCCCAACCCGATTAGTATCCCGACCAAAAAGGTCCAGTGCCTGTGGAAGTGCTACTGTATTTCATGTAATTCCCAGGCATTCGATGTCGGTGACCATCCTCCTCATGTCACAAGAGGCTTGGCCCAAGTTTCAAGTCACCCAGCTCTGGCGCAGGTCTTAAGGTAACCAGGTTCTAAACCGGTCCACCCTCTATTACACTCTGAGAGGACACCTCATCTCAGCTTGCAGAGTCACGCTTGTCAACTGGCGCGCTGGTCCAGGAGCTAGCCAAGGACCATGAGTGCAACATAGTGCAACCAATGCTAGAAGAATCGAGAAACACCATGCCAACTCCAGATCGTCATGGTTCGCCGCGGTGACGCGTTTGCTTTTGATCAACCAGCGTGGCCAGCCAAAAAGTACTGTATCCACAGTCTTTACATGTCTTTGCCACAAAATGCTGAACCTGGTGGCTCGTTGAGAAGAGCCCACATCGTAGCGTATCGCAACTGTTGTGATTCTCCACTGCCGAAACCAGGTCAAGGCTCAAGATGCATCAAGTTATGGAGACGGCGGGTTCAAATTTGCAGAAGGATGGGAACATGGGTCAAGTGGACAGAGCATCACTCACGCTCCAAGCAACGATTGTGCGTGAATCTACTTGAGCTTGACAGATTGACTATATACCCATTCTATCAAAAAGCAACCTGGGGATTTGAACAGCCCGACAGCCCGCAGTGGTGAGAACGGGTATGTGGCAGCATGTAGGAGCCCCAAAGGCCCTAGAGGTCTCAGCATATTTCTTCCTGTCACAGTTCAACCAACCAAATTCAAAACAAGCTCCATGCTGGGAGTGCAGCCGCGGCCTTGACTGCTGACTGCCCGACATCGCTCCTACACATTGTTGGGTGGTTGTGCTCTGCATGTGGCCATGGCTGGCGACAGCTTGGGTTCTGTTGGCTTGGACAACCTGCCGGTGCCGGCACAGTATCGGAAGAGAGTGCGCTGTGCCGGCCTTACCTCTTCGGCCTCGGCCGCTTCGGAGAGGTCTTGCTACCAGGCGCCTCAGACACCCTGAGAAAGGTTAGTATTCTCCAGATAGGGTGCTTCTATTGCGGTTTTTATGCTTCTCCTACTAGACGCCTCGAACGTGTAACTCTGGAGCCGTGCTCACAACTTTTTGCCTCGAACCTTGGAAACCTCTGAATATTGTTTTATATTTTTTAATATACAATATATATATATAAACTGGTCAATGGCAGTGTTTCAATTGCCCAAATGCCGAGCAGGCAACTGTTCAGTGAGAGTGTTTTCACTCGCCGGAGTAAGCGGTCGCTGTCAACCTGGTATGGCCAGCCAGTGATTCCAGACTCAGATGCCTCAGCCTAAGCAGCTGAAACACAGCATTTTCCTTTTCATGTCCAAGATAAGAACCTCAGTCGTGACCTGAAGGCGGGCTGAGACACGTACGGAAGCATACAGACCTTTGCAAGGTATCCAGCAGACAGTCTGAGTCTAATTCAGGTGAAAGCTTACGTCGACCTGGTCCTCTCGGATCCCAACAGCCAAGTGAATGACCCAGCAGTCCCAGATTTCATTGAACGCGAAGCTTGGTGCAAGATGTGCAAGGATCCAACGAAGAAAACTGAGGATTGTGAGACTCTTTGCAGCCTCTTTGCCATCACGCTAGAATATGCTAGCATTGTAAAGGTATGGAGTGAATACCTATCACGTGTGACCGCTCGAGGTGTCAACGTGGAACGTGAAAGCTGCATGCGACTCTTTTGCGTAGCGTGACGTGTCAAAGCTCAAGGGGCCCCTGTCGGGCCGAGTTGAACCACAAGCGGCGTTAGGCCAAAAGCTTGAAGTCCAGACATGTAGTCCAAACACAAAGGGCGGCGCCCTTTTCACACCGGTGGTTGTTGCGAAAGATTCAAAACTCTCGCCACTTTGTCATCTCTTGCTGCGCACAAAATGCGCAGTAGTCATACTGCTTCATCGTGCCGGCATCTGCTCCAGAAAGGCCTTGGCAGTCCGGGTAGATGTGGTACTTGCTGCCTGTTCTTGTAGTCCACACTGACCTTGGCACTGGGTTGCGATCAAGCTCGTACTTGATGGCTTCCAGCTTGTCATAGGCAGTCTGCCATTTGATTCTCACATCTTTGTACTTGCCGTCGAGCTCCCCGATGTCACCGGACAAGTAGTCCCGCATCAGGGTAAGGTCGTCCACTTCCTTCTCCAATTCGTTGTTCTCGCCCTCCAGCGCGTCGAGCTGGTCTTTGAGCTGGGCGTTGTAGGCATCTGAATCTCGTAGGTCTTGTTGAAGTCGTGTGATCTCCATCTTGAGGAGGCCAAACACATTCTTCTCGAGGGCTGTCTCCGCCTGGGTGCCACATTCTTTTGTGCTAGAGCTTGGACTCTCTGTTGTCATCGTCCAGGTCTCTGTCGTTGTCATTGTCCTCAATGTCGTCGGAGTCGTCGTTGTAGCCCTTCCCCACATGTGCCATCCCTCGTGTCCATGGAAAGCATCTTTTGCTTTGTGACCATGACCTCGATCTTCGTCCGCTTGTCCCCTTGGAGACTGGGTGTCTCGGCTTTGAGGCTGTCGTAGAGGGCTTTGGCGCCTACCACCAGAGCTGAGGAGAGAGGGGGCTTCAGCTCGTTGACCTGTCGAAGCTGGAAGTCGTGCTTTAAGCATCCTTCCCAGAAGATGAGGAGGTACTCCAAGGCGTCCATGGCTGCTGAGCAAGCTTGACTCTCAGCATTCAACGAGGATCTGCTAACCCTTGGCAGCCAATCCAGGATGACATAGTCGTGGTCGGAGGTGTCATCGAGCACGGCCTTGTTGCAAAGAAGGACCAAGTAGCCTCCTTGGCTCTCATTGTTTCTCCTCTTGGGCAGGCGGCATCACTCATCGCCACCATGCATAGGTTGTCCAGCGAACCTCCCAATGATCTGAAGATCAGACCAGCGTCGTTGTTGTTCTTGGCGAAGCGGAGGGTCTTGTTTGCCTGCTGGGCAACACCGACCGTGGATGTAGTGACTTCTCCACATAGAAGCGACACTGAGGCGCATAGGTGTGGTGAGGTCTGAGTTGCCGGCCATTGAAGTGCTCCAAGTAGCGCTCGAAGTGAGCTCTGCTCGCGAGAGTTGAGTTCTTGCTCAGGATCATTGTCGGCGCAGGTCATGGGCTTGATGCCTTTGAGGTAGTCTGCCTGCGTCATGATTGACTCGGTGGCTGTTCGTGCCAGCTGACAACCGCAGAACTCTAAAGGTCGTTCTCCTTCCTTGGTCCAGTGCTTGAAGTTGAAGGAGGTCTTGAGGCTGTCTGTGAGCTGCTGGTACGTTGGCGATGAAGCTAAGCCACAGCCAAATAGATCATCAACGTGGATGCCAACCATTGCTGTCAAGGCTTTGTTCTCGTCGTAGAACATGTAGAGGCATTGATCCAGAGGATGGGACTGGAATCCCAACTGCAGTAAACGGCGTCTCGCCACTGCAAACCACTGCCTTGGAGCATCAGCCTGTCCGTAGAGGGGCTTGATCAAGCGCATGAGGGTGCCCGGAGGAACGCCGATCAACTCGCAAGCGTCCTTGGGGGTCCGGGCCCACAAGATCCTCTGCTGAGGATCACCCTGAAGGAATGCCGTTGCAACGTCGGCAGTCCAGCGCTCCCAGGAAAGCACCTCGGAAATGGCGATGATCACCTGGCGAGAGCTCCTTGACAAAGTGGGTGATGAAGTGTCGAGTTGACCTTGCAGTAGGTGGGAATCAGCAAATAAGTGAAGGACCAGTCTTGCCTTGGCCTTGAGGCCACCTTTCCCATCAGCTGCCCACTTGAGAACGAAGCGAGCGCGCATGACCCTGTTGTGGTCAACAGACTGTGGATCGAGTTCGATCTCCCAGACTCCGTTCTCGAAGATGCTGGAGAGCTCGTTCTTCTTGCCCTCCAAGAAGGCCAAACGGTCTTCCAGGGACATCTCTTCTCGTTGAGGTCTGCGCTCTCCTTGACGTTCTTCTTCTTGGGGCTAGCGGCACCAACTGCTTTCCAAATGTGTCCACGGCCTCTGAGCGTCTTGCAGCGGCTGAGCTTGTCGGAGAGGTCGCCGATGTAGTAGAGACCAGTCTTCTCTGCACCACTGACGGTGAGGGGGTACAGGGTCTTGCCTGTCCAAGCTTCGCTGAAGTGCTGCTGCTCCTCGGAGTTGACATAGATAGTCCGTGAACCTTGCTGCAGTGTCAGGCCGGTGGTTGTTTGTAAGTAGGAGGGGTCAATGGGAAAGGTCTCCGGCTTGTAGGTTGACTTTCTTCCCCAAACATGGTTTCTGACCAAAAAGCCGTCCTCATAGCTCCACCAATCTGCGGTCTTGCCGAGGGTGAACTCGTGGGTCTTCTCGTCATAGTGCCATCCAGACGGGAGAGGTGTGGACTTGCTGAAGTCAAAGCTGTTGAGGTTGAGGTCCACATCACCATCATCTGTCCGGGCTTTCTTACGAGTCCAGATCGTCTCTTGCTGATCGAAGCGACGGCGTCGATCTTGAAAGGATTCATGAGCTGGTGGTGCATAGAGAGGATCAACGGTCATAGGACCTGATGAAGATGATGCCTCAGGTGCGGGCACATCGGCTGGTTCAGCCTTTGGAGAGTTCAGATCATCATCTTCAGGTACAGGAAGATCTGCTGGATCGGGACGTGGGTCTTGTTGATCCGCCCTGGCCATTGGAGTTTGGAGGTGAGAAGGTTCACCCATAGGCTCCTCAAAGTCATCATCATCCAGTTCAGGAAGTTCTGGATGTCGCTCATGGGGTTGACGTTCCTCCAACTGAGGTTCCAGCTGCGGTGGCTCTGACTGAGCATCCGGAGGTTCTGCTTCTGGAGGTTCTGCTGCTGGCAATGCCTCTGCTCTCGACTGAACTGCCTCCTGCATCGAGCGGTCGAAGGCTTGTTGAACTCCGTCAGGTAGCGCAGGCGAGGACATAGTCAACGGAGCGGGATGATGAGGATCTGGAAGCGAAGGCTCATAGTCACTGACCTCAGGGTCAACCTCATCTATCGATCGCTTGTTGGCCTTTCGCAAATCCACGATGCGAACGGATCTCCTTTGTCTCAGGCCGTCCAGGGCTTGTTGAGCTCGTTGCACTGCTCCGATCTGTCCGCCATCATTGACCATCTTGCGAACGTGTTGAACTCCAGCGCGAAGGAGCACAGTGCCGTGAGCGAGCCAGTAGACACTGACGGTGCCTGAGTCCGGGTTGCGTTCCACAGCAACCACTACCGCAGGTCCTCTCCAGCGGATGATGTGGTTCTTGTCGGGAGCATCACGCCAGTAGTAGCATCGTTCGCCTGGAAGAAGCTCCTCGTCTTTGCCAGTGAAGCGTCGGAGTAGAGCTCGGCGAAGTTTCACGTCAATCTCAGCTTTGCCACAAGCACTCTGTGCGGCGAACTTGAGGTTGAGCTTTCGATGCAATTTCTCCTGCTCGGTGAGTTGCAACTGCAATTGACCTGTTCGTTCATCAGTCAACAGTCCGGGAAGAGCAGGTTCTCGACCGAGAGCGAGCTGGGTGGGCGTGAAGCCATTGACAAAGCTGTTGCTGTTGAGAGCTGGAACCACCCAAGATAGTGCGCTGTGCACGCCATCCAAACCTGTGAGGTTGTTCTCCATCATGAAGATTGAAACTGCTTTGCGCACAATCTGGTGTCGTCGTTCCACTATTGATGTCCTGGTGTGAGCTTGACCAGGTGAGATGCGGATCTCGATGTCGTTGGACTCGCACCACTGCATTGTAGAGTCAGAAGCCCAACCAGTACCTTCATCCACATAGAGCTGCTTTGGAGGTCCATGATGTTGGATCCAGGCTCTTTCCAAAGCTTTCTGTAATGATGGGCCTTTTTCGTCCATGACGGTGCGAGCTGCCATAAAGCGGGTGGCGACATCAACCATGACCAGGATGGCGATCTTGCGGGTTTTGTTCTTCTTGCGACCAGGTTCGATCACCATGCCAACCTCGTCCAGGTCGAGCCTCAGAGGACGTCGGCTTGAAGTTGGCTGTTGAACTCTGTGGGTCGATCAAGGTGTCCTGGTGCGTTGCCTTTCTTCACGGAGTGGATCTCGCAGAAAGGACATTCTAAATCTTGAACAGCTGCCAGCACTTTTGGGCTGCAGTTCCGACTCCTCAGGGCATGGAGCAAGACTTCTTTCCGTGGGTGGCCAAGGTTGCGGTGAAGTCGCTGTGCGATCCGAGCTGCCTCATGCCCATGGTTGGAGGCCAACTTGCGAAGTGCTCCTGTAAGAGGTGCGGCGTCTTCAGAAACTGCGTATACTTGTTCATGTAGGCCTTCATCCAACAAGAGGGCTCTGACCAAGTGGGCTGCCATCTCATCTTGATAGTTTTCCGCTCGGTGGCACCTGTTGCGACCTTCAAGTCGTTGATGTTGATGTGAACCATCGCATCTCTTGGACATGATCTCGAACATCGCCCATTTGGTGGTGTTGATGCGAGTGGTCTTCAAGATGGGCTGTTCGATGCCGTGGTCATCAGGAATCGTCGCTCCATAGGCGCACTGGTCGAAGATGGCCTTGTGGCCAGGCAAGTTCCTGAACTGCTTGGTCTCCCAGGCCAGGCTCAAGCGAGGGTGCTCGATGTGGGCGTGTGCTCCTCGTCGAACTTGCTTCATGTAGAGCTTCTTGCACATATAGTGAGGTGGGTCTCGGCGTCGATCTCGCGCCGTTCAGTCAAGTCGGCGGCCTGTTCAGCGTTGGAGACGTTGATCTGTTGCATCCTGGACCACAAGGTGCACTTGGGAGACATGAAGATCTCATCCGGCTCCAAGTCGTCGGCCAATCGAAGCAACTGCTTCCTGTGTGAGGCTTTGTTGAAGTCCCAACCATCTTCCAAACCGAGCCTCATGACATCAACGTCGCCATGAGATCGCAGGAGGCTCGTGATCTTGCCTTCACCGGCATAGACTTCCCAGATCAGCTTGCGGCGGCGATGTTGTCCGCTGTCACGAGCATGGAGGATCTCCTGCTGTACGTGCTTCTCTGTCTCCTGGAGTTGGGCTTCAATCCAAGACATTGTCTTCTGAAGTTGCTCGATGGTCTTGCAAGCTTCGCCGGGTAGAAGAGGCTGTTACATCTTCCTCAACAATGGCGAAGGTCTCTTCATGGTCGTGGAGCGAGAAGTAGGTTTTGACCTCGGTGGTCATCTCGAAGTAGCGCTCGTGGGCGTTGAGGTCATCAAGAAACTCGTGCAGGCTGGTTCCGCTGCCGTGGTCATCTTCACAGCGGAAATCGAAGACGGGCTCTTTGAAGTCACATGGGTGCTTGACGTCAGCTGCCAAGCGAAGAAGCATAGCGCCTTGTCTGCCACGGGGGATGTCCTGCCATTCTTGATGAAGTAGTCTCATCTTGGACTCGCCGAAGTTGATCTCGGCCTGAAGTGCTTCCAACAGAGGTCTGCCGAAGAGCATGGGCGTGGCCCCGTAGATGATGTAGGCTTGGATGCGTCCAGGATGGCCAGAAATCTTGACCGGGAGCTCAACCATCCATCGTGAGTGGCCGGAGGCGTCGCCTCCGAACTTGAAGGACTTGTCGCATCTCTTGAAGGTGAGCTCGTCCATGGGATAGCCGATCATCTCAAGCCACTTGATGTAGCGCAGGGCGTACTCAGAGCCAATCAAGAATGAGCTTGCGCCTTGGTCTTGAATGCAGGTGTCCGGCTCGTTCGTCAACCAGCCTCCGGCTCGAACCAACACTTCACCTTCCACATAGGCGTCTTCGACGTCGTAGAAGATGTCTTCGTCCGCAGTGACCTCGCCCTCATCCATGTCGTCGGGGTTGTGCTCGATGTTCATGACCATACTGATCATGGGGTCTTCGAGGTCGATCACTCGTCTCTTCGGAGAGGATCCGCCGGTCTGCTGGACGGATGGGCAGTTGGCTGCAAAGTGTCCGGCTTTGCCACATCGGAGGCAGGTGAGAGCTGCCTTGGCTCGGTTCTTGCCAGTTGGACCTTTTGAGGATCCTTTAGAGCCACTGTTCTTGCCCTTGGACTTGTTCTTGGTCTTTCCACCTTTTGCCGAGCCCTTTGGGTTTTGAGCGACTAGTGGGGCTTGACCTTTTCCATCAACAACTGCCACCACTGGGTAGAATCCTCGGCTTTGGCGAAGTTGGTTGAGCCTTTGTTTGGCATCAATGTAGGTGGAGTAGACCTCATCAAACTCCTCTGTGTCATAGATGTTCTCGGTGTCGTCGATGGTCTCCTCATAGAATGTACCATCAGGGAGTTCGGGCTCAAACCATTCATCAGGTTCCTGGAGGTCGCCTTCCTCATCAGCGTCCATATAGTAGGACTCCTCAGCCTCGAAGAACTCTTCAGCTTCATCATCCCAGGCCATGTGGATGCCTCGGGGTTTCTTCCATCGAAGTTGCTGCTGCTGTCGGCGGAGGTGATGAGGAACATGAACCTGTTGGTAATCCTGTCCGAACAACAGGAAGAGGGACTGCTCGACTGCGCCCAAGGTCAGGACCGACCCGATCTGGGTCTGCACCATTTGCTCTTGTTCACGTGTCAGACCTGCTCGTTTGAGCAGCATCCATCCTGTAACCTCTTCGGGGAGGTCGACCTTGTGCTTGGTCACCTGGCGCAGCACCTGGTGGAACTCGGTGGTGTACTCGAGGAGGGTCTGGTGCTGTCGGCGCTTGAGCTTGAAGAAGAATGCCTCGAAGTTGTTCGGCATCTCGACCTTGTCGTCGTAGGACCATTGGCGGTCCAGGCGCTTCAACAAAATGTTGAGGCCTTCCTCGGACTCCAGCTCCTTCAAATCCAGGTCTTCACATTGAGTCCAGCTGGAGCCTTCCAAGGTCGACAGCACGTTCAGTGCCACTTCGGTCTTTCGACCTTGGATTTCCAACTTCCGGGCGTAGAGAAGGACCCGGCGCCGCCACTCCTTGTAGGAGGTCGTGGTGTTCTCGAAGCGCGGCGCGAAGTTGTCCTTCAGGTCTCGGCTTCCGCCAGCGCCATTGGCTTGTCCAGCTGCTGTCGCGAAGGATGGGTTTTCCCTTCGCGAGGGAGAGCGTCCGTCCGGCCATCAGCGCGCGGGAGCCGTCACTTTGGACGGCTCCGCTACCAATGTAAAGGTATGGAGTGAATACCTATCACGTGTGACCGCTCGAGGTGTCAACGTGGAACGTGAAAGCTGCATGCGACTCTTTTGCGTAGCGTGACGTGTCAAAGCTCAAGGGGCCCCTGTCGGGCCGAGTTGAACCACAAGCGGCGTTAGGCCAAAAGCTTGAAGTCCAGACATGTAGTCCAAACACAAAGGGCGGCGCCCTTTTCACAAGCGTGGAAATGACAAACAAGTTCGGCACCGACCGAACTTGCCTGTTGAAAGGTCTTAGGTCGTGTTTTTGTTTCGTGGCACGGGTAAAGTTGAGACCAGGAAGTCTATTTTGTGGTGGTCCGGTTTGTCCTCCAGATGCTGCACTTTGCAGTCGGCGTGATTGACGAAAGAGCACTCTTTGGGCAAACCCTTTACATGCTGCAGTATCAAAGTGTCTTGGCATTGCTTCGGTGCCTTTGTTGGTTTTTGAGCAGCACACTGGCAAAAGCAGTGGGGGGAAACTTCAACGGGATGGATGAGGTAAAGAGCACAAGCAGCTCCAGCGAGCAAGCCTGAATTTAACTCCTGATATGATTGACTTCGCAATGCGAGAAGTTGTCACCCCATCCTCGCAGAACATGAGAATAGTGAGCAAGCTGGCTGATAAGATTCTCTACAAGAACGTCGCTGGCAAATTGCACTGAGAACAGTTTTCAAGTCTTTTTCCTGCTAACCGGGCTGGTTTCACAACCAGGGTCTGGCAATCATAGCTTGTTTGGAGCCTATGAGGCTGTCCACCCGCCCACCCACCCACCCACCAAACCCCACCCAACCCGGAATGAGCGGCGCTCCTAAGCGCTGAGTTTATGCAGAACTGAGACTCAGTCAGCCCAATCCTGCCCTGAACCTGGAAGTTGCGCGCTGGAAATTGAAAAAAATATCGTTTTGGATTCTGGACAGCCCTGCCAGTTTCCTCGCAGTGTGGCCATATACTTTTTGATTTTTCGATACAGAAAGATAATATATTGAATCACTTTCAACGGGCCCTCAAAAACTAACACTGACCTGGCTTATTAGGTTCTGAGATGAATGTTTGGGAATCATGTGTTGTGGGCCCCTCTCTTGTTGGACAAGATCTTAGTGATCGATTCGGTCTTGTTCATTTTTTGCGGTACAATTGGCAATCGGCCCCTACGGGCGAGTCAAAGGAGGCGGCTGACGAGATGCCATGCCATGCTTAGACACAGAAACACGTAAGGGGTCGAGAAACAGCGGTTCCGTTTGTCAAGCAATCTGCATTTGAGTGTAAGAAGCTTCAACAGTGCCTGCACCTGTGGGCTTGGTCCAAGACCGGGTTCCGCCAGCGACAGTGACTGTGAGTTGCTGCAATGTCAATCAAGTTGATGCACGCGGTTACTTCTTTGAGTGAGCAGTGGCCTGAGTTTGCACACTTCAGACTTCTGCCGCAATTTGTTCACTTCTCGAAACATTTTCATATCTTGTTGTCTCGCTCAGTGATGTGGAGCAACCCGTGGAAGGGATCAAGGTCAAAGCGGTCAAGGCCTATTTTTCAATCAGGACTTCGTTTTTGCGGAATTATTGCATTGAAGATTTATTATTCTGCAATAGTTGTTTCAAATTCAAGTTTGTTTTGGATCGCCGGCCAGGTATATCATGCTGATGCTCCACATCTGCCAGGTTTCGGATTCGTAGAGCCTGACCAGAAGCCTCCTGTGATCGGAAGTTTTCATCCAATTTTTGGGCGAAAACCAGACGCAGGCCCATTGAATATGAGGCTTGTTTTTTGACTGCAGGTAACGACAACCTTTCTGGTAATATTGTATGAATAATCTGATTTTGTTCTTTCAGATATCTCAGGTTCCAGAGAATCGGAAAAAGGCAGAGAAGGAACTCAAGAATGGACGCAAACTGGAGCTTATCCCACATCCAATTGTGATTCGTTCTTATGGGACCATCAGTCAGGGTCTTGGATTTAGCCTTTCCTGGGTTCCGAACTGAACATGACACATTTCAGGATGCTTCAGCGCTACTTTTACTGCTTGTACATCACATTTGGGCAAACGCAACTCTCAGGCATGGTTGTTGCTGTTGTTGTGAATTGCAAAACGCCATTCATCACATGACAATCAATCAGAAATTGGAGGATTTGGGAACACAAGTCTACTACTGGGATGCGTACAAGAAGGATATCAAGCAGTCCGGCAAGAAAAGAGGACGGTACATTCGACCAGAAGTAGCTGAATTCCTGGCAGGAGGGGTCGGTTTTTTGATAGTTGGGATTGGTTTGTCAGTGTTTCAAATTCAGTGTCGTCAGGCTGAATGATTGTTGTTTGCGCAGGCCTCCCCGCTGGATGGACAGATCCACACCCAGGGTCCGTTTCGATGAAGCAGTTTGCAACTCTTTTTCCTGGCCACGGGAAGGCCATTACAAGAGGTGTTTACGGAGTCAACATGAATCATGCATCGTTTATCAATCCATTCCACTTGCGCGCAGGGCAAGCTGGGAGTCTTGAGTTTATTTTCGGGGGTGCTCGGCCTTGATTTGGGCCTGTGTGAGCCAGACCCTCAAAGTTTCATCAGATGCAACCATATTGCTGCAGTTCTCTTATTTAAGGATTTGTCATCCACTTTGCTATGCCAGGATCCCAAATGGTGCTCTTTGTTCTACAAGGGTTGTACTGTAATTTAACGATTCCTTTCCATCGCCGAGGTTGAATGCAATCCATTTTGCACAAGCGTCATCAGGAGCCGTATCCAAGACCAGATGGCCCCTGAGGGACCAATCTATGAAGACGTTGTGAACTTCTACCCATCACCCCGTGAAGCCAAGTGTGATGGCCTAATTGGCGGATACCCATGCCAAGATTCTCAGATGAAAGAATTGTTTCACATTATACTTTGCCAATCAATCTTCTTGTTCTGAACTTGCCACGATTCTAAGGGAGTGTCGCGGTCCGGACACCAGCTTGGAATGGCAGATGAGCGGTCGAGCTTGGTCAAACACATTTACCGCCTGCTGGATTTGACTGAAGCGTTGCTAGCCTTCATGCTTCAAGTACTGTATGTTTTTTCTTGGCAAGGAATCATTCCATTTGGAACAATAGTCTCTCTTAGAACTTGGTCTCGGAGGTGGTTTTGCCTCTTGGAGAACGTAAGCGCATTGCTCTCGGCCAAGCTCCGCCCAATGCTTGAGTACATGATCGAGGCTGCTAGTTTCCAACGCGTAACTATGACTTGTCCAATCTCATGATTTTGCAGGAGTTCACCAAGCGAGGCTTCACCCTGACATGGGCCGTTTGCTGTGGGAGGATGGTAGGGATTCAGGTGGGATTGTCCATTGTTCTATCCAAAAATGCCGCTTTCATTGACTCACAAATTTTGTGTGTCAAAGCATTTAGGGAGAGCTAGTATATGTTATTGTAATCTACCATGTTTGTTCGACCAGGTCCGCCGGGATCGTATTTTCTTGCTGGCGGTGAAGTCTACAATGTCAGTTTCTAAACTGATGGAGGACCGCTATTATTGTATCCAGCTGGAACAGAGTTGTCCAAACACTGAACACCAGAACCATTGAACTGTGAAGGTTTGAATGTTGATTAGTTGCAGGACCTGAACCTCATGACTCCAGAGCAGATGCACAGGGAGGCCCATGCAAAGTGGAATGCACTGGGCCGGCTTCCTTTGAGGGATTGGCTTGTCCATTCAGTCACCCCTCAAGATCTCGAGCGGTTGAAGGCTGTCGGCAACTGCGTTATGCCGAAGGTTGCACGACTTGCCTTGCACGTTCATATGCATGAACAGCTCCGTCGACAATAGATAGTCATCAAATTCGCTCTTTTTAGAAGGCACTTGTGCAGGAATTGTAGCAAGGCCTGTGGAGGCTGGTGCGTTCGGGTGCCTCTCAAGTTGGGGTCTTTGCACCGAATACAATTGTCTCTGTTGGAGTATAATTTCCTGTAGTCAAGTTTGAAGGAGGTTGAAATAGCATTGAACTGAATTGTAGCGCATTGTAACAAACAAGCTTGGTGTTTGGTCTCATTCTTCAAAACAATCAGAGAGGTTCCCACAAGCCTCCCTCTTTTCAGCAGTCATTGAGTGCGTATTTACTATTTGTTTCAATACGCAATAATGCTGTGTCTGAGTGCACATAATTACTGATGCTCGATTGGCTGGGCATTCCCGCTGGTGGCAAGCACCGTGCTCCTGGCCTGTTTTGGGTCCAGCTGTTGAGGCTAAGAATCAATATGATGTCGATCTTGATCGAAGGGTTCCACGGCCCAAGTTTAGGTCCTGAGTTTCGCCCGCGTTTTTGCCATCATGGTTTTTTCAATTCCTTCCGTTCCTGTCTCTGGCTGGTGGTCGCAAGTCTACACCACTGGACCGGCAATCGAGACTGGACACAGCGGCTTTGCGTGGGAAGAAAGCCAAGTTGACACCCCTGTGGAGCCACATGGTCGTACTGAGGCCGCGGAATTGCAAACATAGTTGGCGCACTTGTTTCTCCTTTTGGGTGATGTGAGCGCCTACTGACTGGTGTTTGCTTTGCACAACTTCTACAAAAGTAATGCGATGTATTTTGAATTGAAGGGAAGGTTCCATGTGAAACTTTCTTGTTCTGCTTCAGGCCACTTCCGACCATGAGGGTAACGATGCTGATTGGGAGATACTTGATGAAGACATCAGTATAATGGCTGGAGACCTAGTAGTCTTTGTGGCATCTTGAATGTTTTTACCTCTCAATTTTCAACAAAATGGTGTTAGGAACCTGCAGCAACCGCCCTGGGAAGCATCGGCCGCAACCGCACCGCCATATCCTGAGCAAGTCTTAGGATGCCTCATAAGTCGTACTAGTACTAGTACTGTACTGTTTTTGGGCAACTGTTCAGATCATGGATTCAGCAGAATTCCTTACTTTGAAGGATCCCTTTTGCTGAGGAGGCTGATTCTAGCTCTTCCTCTGGCAAGAAAAGAGCCTTCACGTCTGAAGGCCGGTTTTTTCAATCAAGTCCATAATTGTTGATGTCAGACATTGAGTTATATATAATTTATGGCGCAGGATCTGCTCAAAGTTGTTGGGAATTGCAGCTGTTTAGATTAAATTTGTTGTCAGCACTGTTTGCAGGCATGGATCCTCATCCAAGCCACTGCAAGATGCTTCGTCGGCTGAAGAGCAGCGATTTGTTGGAAAGCTCGGCGAACGAGTGAGTGGGACCAGATGGACCATTGTTGTTTGCATTCTTTTAATTCAAGATGATGTTGTGGTCGTTTAACTTCCACAAACTGACTGAAATTTGGTAGTTCTTAGCGAAGCTGCGTTGAATGAGTGGAATAATGCGCAGACTTTTTCCCGGTGTACCTGATCCGACGGCAACTCGATGATGCTTTGAATGGAGTCAGTCATGGTGTTTGGGGTTCAAGTATCCTCTTATATTAATATAATATCTTCAGATTCTGGGTCTTGCCTTTGATTGCCTTTTGCTCGCTGTTTTGTTGCAAAGCTGGATCATCGTCACATTATGTGTGTATCTCATTCTTTATGCATCTTGCAAAACACACGCATGAATACATTGTATATGAACCTACTTTGGAACTGAAACATCTTTTGCCATGAAATCATGTTTGGAAGCAGCGTTCTTATTTCATGTTTCTTAGAGAGTAAACT